AGGTTAAAAGCAATGAAATTTACAAAATCTTTGTCAGCAAATACATGAGGCATTCTTTTAAGAATTTTGGATTTTGGTAATTAGATAAGTGTCAAGAATATTCCAAGCACATCATGACATCATTACCCAAATTTCTACACAAGGCTCAAACTTTTCAATTTCCTAAGAACATAATTACTAAAAAAGCCATATTCCTTAAATATCCTTATTCATTCATTACCCTAAAATTTTCTTTTGCCTGTATAGGAGGCAAATTTATCAAAAAGCCAAATTATCCAATTTTTTCAATAGCTTTTGAAGAACATCTTAAGCTTGAGTTGTAAAAAAAAAAAAAGAAAAAGAAAAAGAAAAAAAAATTAATTGTAACATCATGCATATGAAATTTTCAAATGATTCCAAAATCAAAGAAAAACAAATAAATCTTCTTCAAAGAATTGTAAGATATCCATATTTGATATGATAAATGACTATCTTTCATATTCTCTTCACAAAAAAAAAAAAAAATCCATTTGTTATCCCTTTTGAACTTATTAAATTCTTTTTGAAAAAACCCCAATCAATGATCACCCTTCACACTATGAGACAAGTATAAAAAAGGATTTATTTGAGAAAACATTAGATCCAAAGTTAAGAACAATGAAAGAATGCCTATAATCAAAAGACAAGTTCCAAAATTCTGGACTCAACTTGTTAGAATGGAAACATGAAAGAAAAAAGAAAAATGAAATGAAATGAAAGAAAAAAAAAACAAAGATGAAAAATGTGGAAAGGAAAATATCTTTGAGAAAGGAAATGATCTTTAATTTGATTATCTTTAAACACTTTTGGCCTATTTATCATTTCTTTTAGAATCTTGAATCCTAGCTTACGTTATATCTTTTGAAAAGTCCATTTTGATTAATTGTAAATATCTAAATTAAAGAACCTTTTTTAAGAAATTACCATCACTTTTTGATTTTGGATGAATTTTGAGTTTTCAAATGCATGATGAAATAATCAAACGAAAAAAAAAAATTGAATGAAACTCTAGGGTGAAAATCCAAAAAAGCAATTTAGAGCAAGATTGGAATTTTAAAAACAACTTAGGCAATTACATGCAAAGCAGAAGCAGTAAATGAAAATATTTTGAATGAACCAATGAGCATTGAAAACCTTTGAGAAACCCAAAAAGATCAACCCAGTTAGAAGATTTATTCTAAAATTTAAGCCTTTCTTTCTTTTATAGAAATCTTTCTTTTATAGAAATCTTGAGTCTAGTCTTGACATTTATTAAAATGTCACATATCAAGAACCTAAGAGAGTGCCAAAATGGATTATGTTTTAAAAGCAATCATTTTTTAATAAATTCAAACTTTCATTTGTGAGCCTAAATGAATAGACATTGATCTTCCCCTTCTCATTCATTGACAAAGTCTTTCTTACTAACTAAAATCTTAATGAGCCAAACCATTTCATCTTTTTACAAAGACCAAAATGTGATTTACCTAATTCATTCTAATTAGTAATCATCAGTTTTCAAGAAATCTAAATGTCACATGTTTTTAAATAATTGGTACATCTTGTTTTGGTCATAAAAAATTGTTATGTAGGATAATTTTTTTTTTATTTTGGGGTATTGTTGTTACCATTCTTTTAGAAGTTTTTTAAAAACATTCAATTTATATTATTGTATATATGAATTTTGATAGATGTAAGAAAGATGATTTCCAAATCAATATGACAAGATTGACCTTTTTAGGCCAACAAAAATGCTTTGTTGACAATTACACTTGCATCATTTCATAAATGTACAAATCTTTGTTTTGATAATTGCAATTGCGTAATTGTTTAGATCATGCATTTGCATCATTTGAGAAATTTGTATATTGCATAATTGATTAGACCATGCATTTACAACATTTGGTGAGAATTTAAATCATTATTTTGAATATTGCATTTGCATCATTATTCATGCCATGCATTTGCATCATTTGGTGGGCATCTAATTCATTGTTTGAATATTGCATTTGCATCATAGTTAGAACCATGCATTTGCATTATTTGGAAAGCATTTAGATTTTTGACATTTATAAACATTTGCATCATTTAATTAAGATTTTTGAATATGTTAAGAAAGATAATGAAAATTGACATTTGCATCTAATTTATTAAGATAGATATTTGTATTTGCATTTTTTGTGAAAAGCATTTGCATCTTAGTAAGATACATTAGCATTCATACCATGATATTTGCAAACTTTGAGGTAAAGAAAGAAACAAAAAGATTTTATTAGTTGGCACATATGAGATTTAAGCTTAGATAAGCTCATGGCACCAATTGAGAATTTAAGCTTAACTATGTTGACATATGAAAAGATAAATGTTGATTTTTAAGTTTCAAAGCTTTTGTTAAGAAGGAGCTTTTTCAAAGATGAGAATAATTTATAAGATCTCCAGACATAATCTCCAAAACCTCTAAGTATTATCTATAAGACCTTAGGGTATGATTTTTAAAATCTTTATGTACTTTTTTAGATTTAATTTTTAAAAGTTTCAAAACCTTTGTTAAGAATGAGCCTTTTTAAACTCCGAACATTATTTATAAGACTTTCGGATATAATCTCTAAGATCTCTAATCATGATATATAAAACCTCCAGGCATGATCTAAAATACCTTCAAACATGATTTATAAGACTTTCGAGTATGATCTATAAGACATCAGAGCATGATATGTAAGATTTTTAGGTATGATCTTTAAAAAACTATTGAGAACTTTTTGATGTAAATCTCTAATCTTTGATGCAAATTTTGAAAACTTATGATACAAATTTTAAGAACTTTTCAATTTGAATCTCAAATCTTCAATGCAAATCTCGAAGACTTATGATACAAATCTCGATGCGAATCTCAAGAACTGTTTTATGTGAATCCTAAATCTTTAATGTGAATCTCGAAGACTTATGCAAGTCTTGAGAGCTTTTCAATGAGAATCCTAAATCTTTGATATTAATGTTTGAATGAATCCCTAATCTCGTTTAGATAAAAATCTTTGAGTTTTTTACCAAACATAATTTTTAAAGTTTCAATACTTTTATTTCGAGCAGCATTTTAAATTTTTTAAAGTTTCAAAGCCTTTGGTGATGGAAGCATTTTACATTTTCAAAGTTTCATAGCCTCTGGTGAGAAGAGCTTTTTTATTTTCAAAATTTCAAAACCTTTAATGAGAGGAACTTTTAAAATTTTCAAAGTTTTAAAGCCTCTATTAGGGGGAGATTTTTAAATTTTTTAAAGTTTTAATGATTTGTTGAGGAAAAGCTTTTATATTTCTCATCCCCCAAAGTTTCAAAGCCTCTGTTAAGGAGGAACCTTTTATTTTTCTTAACCCAAACAAAATAGATGTCTTTTATCTTTGTACAATTTCTATTTCACAGAAATGTGTTAAAAGGGGATGTTGTAAATACTTAATTTTGTTTGAGGTCTTTTTGAAATTATTGGGTCTTGATTTAAATTATTGGGTTTTAAAAACCTTTTTTAAGCCCAAATAAAAAAGGCCCAAAATATTTTTTTATTTTATTTATGTTTTATTATTTAGTAAAAAAATAACATAAATTTTGATTTTTTAAAGATTATAATTTTATTTAGATTTGAAATTTAAAGATTGAGTTTGATTTTAGTAATTCTTGGGCATCAAGTTTCTACAAAAAGAAAAAAAAAATTAGCAAGATCTTGACAAATTCAATTGGCATTAAAGTTTTTCAAATTATAAAAGGAGTTCAATCCCTATATAAAAAACCAAATTCTCAATCAATCAAAGAATCAAAAAGCAAAAGAAAAAGCAATACAATAAACAATTATCCAGCAGCACAAAGTTATGAATTTTGAGAAAGAAGTTCTCAATCAAAGGGAGAAGAAGAATTACCAAGCAAAAAAAGAGAGAACCATATACATAATATTAAAGCAAACAAAATCAAGCAAAATTTTTCTTGGCAATAGGTTTTATTTTAGATTGGTTTAAAAACATTGGTTAGGAACACTTTCTTTTATGGTGTTATATTTATTTTTCATTTAATGTAGTTTGGGATAATATTTGTGATAATAATTTTTTTATGAGATAATTTTGTTTTGCTAGGTTTTTTTTTTTTTTACTTATTTGTTTATTTCATATTTATTTATTCATTATTTATTTTTTACTTAGGTTTTTTTACTTATTAATTTATTTAGTTGATGTCAATAAAAATTGAATTGTATTTTTTTAGAAAAGTGTAAATATATTATTTTATAATTAGAAACTTGTAAATATGCTTGTATCATTTTTTGTAATTAATATTTTGCAAATAAATAAAAAGAATTGACATTTGATTTTTTATAAGATATTTAATAAATTCGATGACAAAACCTTTTCAAATAAATAACGAATTTATCTTGAATACTCTTGAGATGATGTAATATTTTTATGAAAGTTTAAAGATTTTTTTTTAATATTTAAATATCAAAATTAATAAAAATAAGTAATAAAGATTATCTTTGATTAAGGCTTAAACAAGATAAAATATGATTAACTTGTACTAATTTTAAGGATAATGGGATGTTAATACTTTCCTTACATATAATCGACTCTTTAATTTAGTTTTATATATTAGAATCTATTATTTTTAAGGTTTTTTAATTTAAATTTAAGATAACTTTAAAAAAGATAAATTCATATAGGTGGGTTAATAACACTTAGATAAAAAAAATTGATGATGACTCTATAATTTATATGTGTAATAAGTAAATTTTCAAACTTAAATGTATGTGTGTGTGTGTCTATATAAATATATATATATATGTAAAGAGAAGATCGAGATGAATAATTTTTTTTTCTCTTTTGAGTGTGGTTTTTCACCTGTCGAGATGGGTTAAACAGAGCATATAAAAAAAAAAAAAATTGGCTGATCTTGGAAATACTTGCGCATGTGAATTTGTATGGTTGGTTGATTCTTCACCTTTTTATGCATTGTGTGCTACATAATAAAAAATAATTGCAGTTAACCCTGAATGAAAATTTAATCATGTTCCATTATTTAAATAAAAATAAATCCATCCACGAATTGGTTATCAGTGTCACCCTATAATTAATTGAGGCATAAAAAATAACCAATAACAGACGAATATAATTTAAGTAGCACTTGAGCTGACGGAAGCCACAGCTTTGAGTAGAAAACCAAAGAGATCAGCTGGAGTGGAGAAAAATGGGCTGTGCTCACTCTCCAAATCAAACACTTGAGAGGGCGGCCACCTTCTTATCATTGCGTCCTGTTGTTCTTGCTTTATGACTCGATCGTGCATTGTCTTGATAAAGACTCGTGGCACGCTGTCAGCGTCAGGTCCCTCTGTAAAGTGAACATCAGTAAATGGTCTCAAGGGTCCTGGTCTCAGCAGCATCGCGGCCAAAGTTGAGTCCTAGTGTTATGCAAAGGCCCACCGAATTGGTACTATTAGTGCATAATTCGTGCAATTATATTTGAACTTAAGCTTGGCAGGAAGTATTTATTTGTGACTCACGTCCTTAGAGCTCAAATCATAAAGAATTTTGCGTTGAAACTCCTCCTTCATTATCATGCTGGTTGGCGGTTGATCAGCTCCTAGTCCGTATGTCATCGTATTTACATCGCCATACATGGATAAATCTGGATCTGCCTGCTCTCATTAATCTCAACAGATACATATAAGATGCTCACATAATTAAGATTTCATCTGATTGATGTTTTTATATTTTTCTTTTCTATATAAAAATCAAATAGAAAATAAAAGTAAAAATAAAAAACTAATATAAATTTTTTTAAAAAAATTAACTAAAGCGAACATTTTATTAATCATAAAAACTTTCAAAAGTTTGATCAAATATGCAGACATGTGTTCATCATAAATCTAGCGTTAATTTTATATTTAGCAGCAAAAAAGTTGTTGAATGACTAATAATGTTGCAAACTACTTTTTGCTTATTATGTTTTTTTTTAAGTCAAAGTTTATTAAAGCAATTAAAAGATTACCACGTTAGCAATAGCAAGCAAACAAGGATTCTGTACAATCAATAGAAGCATTACGAAACACCTAATTAACAACAAAAGAATAAAAGAAAATCCACCTAATTGAGAGCGAAAGAACGAACACTGTAACAGCTAGATACTACATGCTAAGATTAAATGTACAAACAGAACAACAACAAAGGAACAAAGATCAATTTCATTGTCACTCTTAAAGAAAACATTACTAACAATAATCCAAGTTTGTGAATATAATTGATGTAACCAAGCGTACCAAAATATTTGTCAAAGCTCTAAAAGAAAGTCATAAACCACCAATTGCTAACATTATTATCTCGCTCCCTACGTTCAATTTTCATCTACTTGTTAATGACAAGCTCTTCATCACTTGCGTAGGATAACCCAAGACATTTTCCGAACTCCCAAATTTTAACAGCCTCATTTTGCGTAAAAAGTTTATCCACCATGTATCATTGTCCGAGATACAAGTATCATTTTCTGAAATTATCACGTAAGAATATAAACTAGAGCCTTTTTCCTACATCAATTGAAATTCTTACGCTTCTGGTTTTTAGGATATTTCAATTTTTTACTAAAAATACAGTTCAATATATTCACAAACATCTTTGCACTCCTCTAATTCGACATCAAATAGCCTCTCATCATTTTGAGTACATTCGTCCTCTTTCTCTTTCTCAACTTCCACATTTAAGCTCAAAGAATCATCTCTCTTCCTCAGCTTCCTTACTTAATCAATCGTCCAATGTCCTTTCATCCTTAAGAAACCCCTCAAAAATTCCAAATTTAACCTATTATAAACAATTCTCATTATTACTAAACTCTTCAAACTTTTCACTAGAATTTGAAACCTCATCACAACCATTACAATATTGATTACCCTCTTCACAATTCACATTCGGATCAAATGGCACACTATTTATGTTGTGTTGCAATAAGCTATTATAAATTCTGCACTAAAATAAAAGCTATTATAAATTATATTTTGCAACAAGAACATACTCAACCACTGTTGCAAATACTTTTGTAATACATCATTTGCAGATACTCAAATTCAAACACTTTTTGAAGCATGACAATTTCAAAATTATATAAAAATTTTGTTGCTAATTATAAAATTTCTTGTAGTGCATTAGCATTGACTCATTCCAAGAAACCAAATGAGGATGGTATATGTGCAATTTTCCTTTCTTTTTTTTGTTTAGGTTTGATTATTTAGCGAACACAACACAAAGAAAAGATGTGATCGTATGACCAGGGAACATGGGTAGAGGAGCAAGACATTAACATATACAAAAGTGAAAAACCGAAAAGATAAGAATTCGTATAGTGACGGCACATGCATCCACCCCTCAATCGGACTCTTTTTTTTGGCAAAAAATGCATCATTGCTTTGCTTTACGAAGGAATTCTGATCAAGACTGCTATTGTATTTGTTCTTACAAACGAATATTAGTGATTCAGTTTCAAGTAGATTGCATATACACAGTAATAATTAGTAGTATTATCTAAAATCCAACACAAAGTTTTCTAGAGTAAAAGATAATTAAATAGATTTGCCTTGAATCTATCCAAGTATAATATGTAGTAATATATACAAACACACAGGGTTAGAAAGAAGAGATCGAGAATGAATTGCATAGAGATGTGTGTATCTTACATCTTTATAATCTTGGGGAGTGACAAACCCATGCTTGAGCATATTAGCAGCCACGTAAATGGCCATACGAATTTTCTTAGCAAACCTGTGTATAGCATACGTTAAGCTCAAACCTCCCGCACTGTGTCCGACCAATATCACCTGTCAAAAAATTAGCAAATCCTTAATTTAAGACTGCTGTAACTTTGTATGATTAGTTAGTAACTGGCTAACCTTTTCATTCTCGGGTAAGTTGAACAGCAGGTCAATAAGTGGTTTGTTATAGTCTTGGAAAGTGAAGATGGTGTTGGCATCGGATGGATCAATACCCGAACCTTTAAGGTCAAGACAGGTGACCTTGTAATCTGATGCTTCCAATAGACTCCTGATTTTGTACCAGCACCAGGCTCCATGCCCGAAGCCATGCACCAAAACGAAGTGCAGCTTTTTACTTGTGTCGCTCATCTCTCGCTAGCTCTCTTACGTTCTGAATTAACTTTCCTCCGGGGCTGGTTAACTACTGTCACCGCTTGCGTAACCGCTGGCTGCAGGTCTATTATAAAATATTAGAAGCTTGCTTTGACATAGGTAGCTTAGCCGTGAAGTCAAAATTAGCAGCTTAATTTATGGCAATTGGATCAGAAAAGATGTTGAGTTGACACGACAAACGCATGTGGCATTAAATTCAAATATGGCAAACCTTTAAGGGCAAGACAGGTGACCTTGTAATCTGATGCTTCCAATGGGCTCCTGATTTTGTACCAACACCATGCTCCATGCCCTAAGCCATGCACCAAAACGAAGTGCAGCTCTTTACATGTGTCGCTCATCTCTCGCTAGCTCTCTAACGTTCTCAATTAACTTGCCCCGGGGGCTGGTTAACTACAGTCAAAATTAACTGCTGCCACAGCTTGCGTAACTGCTGGCTGCAGGTCTATTATAAAATATTATAAGCTTGCTTTGGCATGCGTAGCTTAGCCATGAAGTCAAAATTAGCAGCTTAATTCATGGCAATTGGATCAGAAATGATCTTGAGTTGACACGACAAACGCATGTGGCATTAAATTCAAAACAACTCCGTATTATGTATACATATATATATATATATATATATTATATAAATATTCAAGTTGCAACACTTTTTCATGGCCCAAACCTAGGATGCACGGACACGACGTCCACCTTCTCGTATCGGTTTTGCATCGGCGTCCAATACGGATACAGCGCCGATGCATCAAAATACGTACGGGACGCGTAGCGACAAAAAAAAAAGTTGGACATAGTCCGAAGACGATCAAGACACGCTTGAACCCGGGTTAGTGGTGAAAAATGGTAAAAACGATAAAGATCATGAATCTTTTTATAGATCTAGACTTTTCTAATGGAATTTTGGAAAGGATAGAAAGAAAGAGTAGACTGAGGATTTTTTATTGCAGGAATTTTGACCGCAGTAGATGGTCCCCGACGGCGGAAGATAACGACATAGGCGACGACAGCAACCAGAAAGTAGGTAAAGGGTGGTGGTAGGCGCCTATGTTTAGAAAGAGGACTTTTTAGAGATAGAGATGTAAATATTTAATTTAATCCGGTCAATTTAGTTTTGTTCGACTTTTTGTGCTTGAATCAATGATTTGATTTGGATTAATTTGAGCATTACAATTAGATAAATTCATTTAAAATTTATCTTAGATCAATTGCTTTTGATAATTGTGCATGAGGTAAAATCCAAATCCAATTCTGTTTGAGTTAACGTCTAATTTAATTAGAGTTAATTTAAAATTTAGTTATTTAGGTTTGAAGGCTCTATAAAAGTTTAAATTGATTGTTTAAGCTTAAAGTCTGTTTCTAAGCTCAAATTTTATCATTAAAGCCTAATTCAGTCTTAGATTAAAGACTTAAAAATTTAAAAGCTAATAAGCCCACGTTCATTTTCAAAAAGCTTAATTTAATTTTTATTTTTTTATTGTCATTTAAAATTAATCAAATTAACTAAAAAATTATAAAAAAAAAAACAACAAAAAAATAGAAAATAATAAAAATCAATGGCTAGCGATTCATGCCACGTGAGGCCAAAATTTCCAGGCACAGCAATCACTACTCCGCTACCTTGCCATCAATGTTGCAAGAGCAATAATAGCTACAACAAGCCAAATTATCAATAGTAAATTGGTCTTGATAAATTGGAAGGAATTCACCATAAAATGGAAGGAGACAGAAAGAAAAAAAAATCTTCAATTCCTCAATCTTTACTAGGCATTTGGTAACTCTTTTTCCACCAAAAAAAAATCCTACTACCATCCCCATTTGTCACCACAATCACCCAGTCGAGAAAGATAGTAAGTTGGTATAGCACCATGCAATACATGATATCCCTCAAGTTGAGCCTTCCATTCATTATGAGGAACCTACCACCCACAACATCATGATAGGAATGCAAATGACACTGCAAAACAAGTTGAACTATTTTTTGAAGGTTCGATCGATACATCTATCCTTAGGAGTTTTGGATCTTATATTATATTTCAGTTACGAAATGGCCATGTAATCACTTGAATCATAAAATACGTTAGTGTTAGTTTAAATTTTTAGAGTGAATTGGTTAATTATTGTTGTTGATGATATTTTTATGTTGTTAATATTGTTTATATTGTTATTGTTATTATTACAGGAGCAAGATCTGTTGAAATTGATTAATCATGGACCGAAATTATAGCAATGGCATCTAGACGATGCATGTAGTTGTATTCGAGCCTATGTAGTAGAGTCGAGGTTGGATTCACTCATTGACTGCATCTATTGCATGGTTAATAACACAATAGTATTGACTTTTGTTGAAATGTGGTAACCTTAGATAAACACATTTCATCTACCATTCGAAAATAAAACCATCACGTTGGATGATGTGTCACGTTGGATGATGCATTCACAATTCTACACATATGATAACAAGGAACATGATTTCAGTGAATTATTTGATAATCGATGAGGTGAACATACTACTGGTCAGGTTACTTGGAGTTTCTGTGGCTAAGACTATAGCAAAGATTGCTTAGAGACCCGTTGTTCAACTGTAGTGACTATAAGATACCCTTTGGGATGTTATAGATACATTAAATGATGAGGTGATAGTTTATGGATTCTAGACTTTTTTACTCCATCTATTAGAATATATGTTATTAGTTGACAAGACCACAATGAGAGTATCGGTAGCATACTTAACCTTACTAAACGACCTCAGCACCATTAATAGATATGCTTAAGGGACAGCTCATATATTTGTACAAGTAGCCTGGCATTGCGAGTAGGGTAAACGTGCATCAGATTGCTAGTTGTACGACACTTCTACAAGTATGTATTTATATTTAGTCAAAACATATTATAATTATTTAATTTGTTTATTATTACTCATTTATGTGATTATGTGATTAACATTACTCATGTATTTCATATTGGCATGAATTTATGATTACTTTCCATTACTAAGTCCAATAAGCATATTGACATACATAAATGATCTACCATATGCTTGATGATGGAAGGCTCGTACTTATGCCGATATGTTATACACCTTATGAGAGCAACTGGATGTGTTGACGGTATCTAAGCTGGGAACCATTCGTTGCATGATATTGTATTTTTTACTAGATGTATCAAGTGTAGGGTAATTATAGAGCATATCATCCAAAAAGGGTTTATGATAGTTTGGATTTATACAGACCATTCCTCCTACCTTTTTGGCCATATCTCAAGCTAAACAAGATAAACAAACTAACACATGTCCACAAGCGAGATTAAGATGGTGACACATATCTACTTTTTTTTTATATTAGTTTTTTATCTTTCTAAATATAAGACTTTTTCTTCAGGAAGAATAATAAATGAAAATGGAAAATGGAAAATGGAAAAAAAAAAGACAAAAAGAATTAGATATTTTGATTGAAAATTTTATTTGTTCTTTACATAAGAGTTTTTTTTTTCTTTACACAGCCTTCATCATATTTTATTATGTTAATAAAAAAATAAAAAATAAAGAAAAGAAAGAAATGAAAAAGAGTGGCAAACAAGGAAAAATTATATCGTGTTTGAACTTTAAAACTGCCTTTGGTATATTCTTTAAGAAAAAATTTATATAAAATAATTATTTAAATTAAAATATATTATTTTCATTCAAATTATATCATATAATCACATGATTAAAAAAAATTAACAATTCATTAGATATTATATATAATAATTAAATGATAAATATTTATTTCAATATATTTATACATTTGATGAGAAATAAATGATTGAATTTTTAATTAAGATAATAATGTAATATAATATGAATAAAAAATATATATGTCATTTCATACAATCTTTTTCTCATTACCTGAATTCAAAAACCTAACTATGACTACGAAATAAATAAAAATTGCACAATTAGAAAATACATTAAATGGTAAGGTGATAGTTTATGCATTCTAGATTTTTTTACTCCATCTGTTAGGATGTACATTATTAGTTGACAAAACCACGAAGAAAGTATCAGTAACATACTTAACCCTACTAAACGACCTCACCACCATTGATAGATGTGCTTCGGGGACAGTTCACATATTTGTACAGGTAACTTGGCATTGTGAAGAGGGTAAATGTGTATCAGATTGCTAGTTGTATGACACTTCTACGAGTATGTATTTATATTTAGTCAAAACATATTATAATTATTTGATTTATTTATTATTACTCATGTATGTGATTATGTGATTAATATTACTCATGTATTTCATTCAGGCATGAATTTATGAGTACTTTTCATTACTAAGTCCCATAGGCATATTGACATACAAAAATGATCTACCATATTCTTGATGATGGAAGGCTCATACTTATACTGATATGCTACAAGCCTTACGAGAGTGACTGGATGTGTTGATGGTATCTAAGTTAGGAACCATACGTCGATCAACAAAAGGAGCATTCATTGCATGATATTGCATTTTTTACTGGATGTATCAAGTGTGAGGTAATCATAGAGTATATCATTCAAAAAGGGTCTATGATAGTTTGGATTTATACAGACCATTCCTCTGACCTTTTTGGCCATATCTCAAGTTGAGCGATGTTAACAAAGTGACACATATCTACAAACGAGATTAAGATGGAGACACATATCCACTTCTTTTTTAAATCAATTTTTTATCTTTTTAAATATGTACTTTGAGATATATATGTTATCATTTTAATCTCGTTTATGAAGTTAAAAAACTTTATTGTCAATATATTTGATAATTTCTCTTTCTATATTTATATATAAATATCGACAAAGTAATAATCGATGTATATGATCCATAAAAAGATACAGTGTCATGCTCTAAGTACTCAAGTGCTTTCCCTTCCCAATGGTTCCTTATATCATGTGAATTTTGCCCATACCACATGCACCTAATATTAAATATGCATTTTATGAATATATATATTTTATTTTATACTTGGTTTTTACTGTTGAATCACAATTAAATCTAAGATCGAGATTAAATTATTTTTTTCCTCATCCTAGCCATTCTTTTCTCCTTTTGTCTCAATATTCTAGTTTTCTCCCGTTATTAATTTGTATCTTTTTTCGACTTTCAACAACTCCATTTCTCATAGATTAATTATTTTTATTATATGTTCATAAATTTTAATCTCAATCAATATAATGTAGCTAACTGATCTTCCAAATACATATTTTATAATATGTTTGTAGATTATAATCTCAGTCAATATCCATGTAGCTAATTGATCTTT